CACAGGTATAATTTCCAAAATTCGTCATCCGTGGGAATTGAACCTTAGACCTGCCACTTGAGGGTTGACAACCTATCCACTTCACTAGGTCGCCACACCCCTTATTTGTAATTTCTTTATACTTGATATGTATAACTAAAGTTATAAAAAATTTTTATGTTTTTATTTTTACTAATTGTTTTATAATATTTTTTTAACTTTTTAATTAATTTATTGCTTATATATATATTTTTAGAGAATTGCTATTTCCACTATAGTAAATTGCTATTTCCACTATGATAGATCACATGACACAAATTGATTGCTGTTAATCTCTTATCAAAATCAACCATTATCAATAGAAGTTTCTAAATCCATCATATAATTACATAATCTGCATGATTCATATTACTTACATGATCACATGTATTTAGTGATCTATATATAATTAGTCTAATCAAATTTCAATTATAATTTAAACTTGTTTACTATCGCTTTATATATATATTATATTGTAAAATTCATTACTGATCTAAAAAATTCTTTTGTATTTAAGATTTAAGTATTACAAATCTAAAAACTTTTCTATTAGCATAGTGTTAGGATTTGAATGTATACTGTAGTAATTTTAGATTACATCACTTGATTTTAAAATTTGGTTTGGCAGGATAATGATTTTTTTTTTAAATTAGTAATGCTAGACAGCTCCGATTTGAATCTTTTCAAATTTTTATTAAACTTTATTAAGCTTACTAACAAAGCTTTTAATATAAAACTTTTAGGTAACTTAAGCTATAAACTAAATTTGAATCAGATTTGTAACAAATTAATTAGGATTTAGATTGGGTGGCTAGTACAATATGTAGTATACTATGTTGGACTCTAAACCAAAAGTCTGCTCTACTGGACTTATAAACTGGAATACTGTACTTATAGACTAGACTATTAGATCTACTGTATAAGTCCAGTTTCAATTCAATTTACTGGATTTATAAATTTGAAACAAAACACCATGTTCATATATGATTATTGCAAAGGTTATATATAGAATTTTATGAATTGTGCATAATTTTAATTGTATTTATGAGTAACTAATATTGCCTTTATTTTATATAACTGATTAAGCATTACAATGTATAATGATAATGAAAAAAATGGAAAAATTTTTTAATTTCTATTAGAGGATAATTATTTTAGGCATTGTTTAATGGTATGTTAATAATGTAATTAAAATTTCTGATTAAAAAAAAAAAATTGCTAAGTCTAACTATTCTTATTACTATTCTCATTACTTTTCTCATTATTTTTCTTATATGAGCTTTCAATATTAGAGCATGTTTTACTATTGTGCCCAGTCTCACAACATATACTACATCTTCTGTTATAACCTTTATCTAAATTTGCAAAGTTAGGGCATGTTCTACTATTATGCCTGACCCCATAACATATATCACATTTCCTATTGTATTTTGTTGACATAATCAACTCAAATATGGATAAATTTCTTTTAATAGACAATTGAGGATAGTTTTTTGCACCTACTAGACATCCTCTTGTGGGTTGTATCTATGGATGTTGTACAATTATAGTCAACTCTTGAAATACACTCGACATTATACCCAGAACTTTACTTTTTTGATAAAGTAGCAAAGAGTTAAATTTCTGGCTATACTCTTCTTACTTTTGACATAATGAAGCTTCAGTTTCATATAGTTCTTGTTAAGACAATTGGTGTTGTTGGATCTATCAATGTTGATAAAAATCATCAAGCTGTAAACATTCATTATTATCAAGAAGTTCTTGAATTATATGTGAACAAGATAGACCCATTAATGATTTAAAAGTACAACTACAAAATCATAGTGAATTTTCTGGTGTTGCATTAGATGCTTTTAAAAATTGTTCATAAACATTTTTTAATGCAAATGTAGACATCTTGGAAATGACCTGTGCATAGAATAGTTTGTTTTGTGCATAGAGTATTCAAATTATCTTTTGGAAAGATTTTGTTTTAATCTCTTGATACTGATTTTCTAATGCTAAAGTAATTTTCTCATGGACAATATGAAGATCACCTATCAATACCTGAAGGTACATCTTTAGCATTGCATGGGCCCTTTCTACTCGAAACATTATTGTATTATCTACAAAATTAGTAGCAAAAATATTAGAACAAACTAAAAACCAAGGACAAAAAACTAAAAATAGCATAAAAAGAAACATTGAATAGAAGAAAAAAAGAATGCCAAAGGGGTTAATAGAGTTTGAAACTGGGTTTATTTTATATTAAACCTGATTAAAACTGAGTTTAATATATAAAAAATAAACTGATTCCAAACTTCAAAAAAAAAAGTGCTAAAAAAAATTCTAAAATCAAAAAAATTTAAATACCTAAATACAAATAACGATCAGTCTAAAAGCTTACAAAATTTGTTTTAAATAGCAATCATGTTTCTTCCAAATATTTAATAATTGTTGTTTATCATTATATTTTTCTACTAACTTTTCCCAGTTATTTATATAATCGATTTCAGTTTTGGATTTTATAAGGGTAGACCAGCTTTTCAAAATTTTGATCATTTATTATCTGTTTGAAAATGATGCTGGCAATTAACTAACATATTCTTTCCAATGTGCCAAATGCACAAGAGATTTGTAACTTTGGAAATACCATTTTGGCAGCATTTATTAAGGCTAATTCATGGTTGGTCATGATGACTTGGGGTTTGGGAACATCATCAAAAATATGGGCAACACAAGTAAGAGCTTATTTGTAATCTTCTTTCTGCTCTGATTTCAAGAATGCAAAGCAGGAAGAGAATGTGGTGTTAAAACTTGTCATGTCAATGATATGAAGTAGTGGCATTTTAAACTTATTAGTCTTATATATGCAATTCATTAAGAGAACAGAGTTATATGTCTTGGTAAGTATAATCGACATTGGATATGCAAAATAAAGATGCATTAAATTTCTATCTTGATCATATTGATAATTATGTTTAATATTTCCTTCTACAAGCTCATTAAAAAGGGCTTGAATGGTGCATGACTTTGAAGGTTATCATGTCAAACCTTATTCTAGGCATTATAAATAGGTTTTGAAATTACTAAGTTATTTGGATTGTTTTGACAAAGAGTAGAGAGTATCTCTCGAGGATGTATACCTGATGTAGACATTTCCTGAACTTTTTGTTGATCTTCTTTGTTCAACTGATAACTAAATAGATGGCCTGAAATGTTTTCTAATGCTTTATAATTATGATTTGCATTTTTTACTGTTAAACACTATTGACCATCATCTATTTTCTTCTATAGAGCTCAAAAGGATAGCCTATTAATTGTGTACTTGTATCTTTCTGGCAGGTCTCATCATTTAGGTTTAATTTGTTAATATATTAGCCACCTCTGTCGCACTATAAGTAAACAAACTTTTCTAGTTCAGATCTTTTAATAATTACTATATACCTATGACTAAAGGCATGCATTTGAGCATGTTGGATAAGATCATTATGGCTTGTAAAGTAGCCTTTTGAAGATGATAACAATGATATAATTTTATATTTTTAGAAGCAATAATGTATATAAAATAATTGTGATGTTTGGTTTGTTTACTATAACAAATTTATTTATTTAGTATTTAAACTATTCACAATACTAATATTTAGGTACTTAAGTAAAAGTTTTTTAGATGCAATTAATATTTTATTATGTTAGGATTAACAAAAAAGGTTCTAGTAACAAAAGTTACAGCAATTTTTATAATATTTTGTTAAGCTAAAAGTATTTTTTTATATTTATCTCTCAAGTTATTTTTAACTCGATGAAGTTTTGCTATTAATTTTTAGCTGCTCTTTATATACTTTTAAAATTCAATCTACATCTTAAGCATCATCTAGTGTCTTACTCATTTTTAGTTTTATTTTTTTTAGTTATAATCTTTATAGCTCTTTAGAATGATTGGCAAAAGGACTTTAATTATCAGCCAAACTGATAAATAACTGACATAAGCTAATATTATTGATTTGATTAAATGATTTTTAGCAGTATAATTATAATTGCTTTTTTTTGTTAGTATGTTAAATTGCATAATTAATATTTTCATACAATTAAAATTTCTATATATGTATGTATTTTAAAATCATAAATGTCCCAATGCATCAGCTAAACTGATAAATAGCCAATATTACAGCATTAGCCAATTTATATAATTATTTTTTTGGCTAGTGTGCAATTAGTATAGGACCATTAATTAAAAATATTTGCTTATATATGCAAAATAATCTTATTGTTAATAAAGATTTTATTTGATAGAATCAATTTGGCATAGTTATTTTACTTTTTTGGTTAGCATACCCAAATTATATGCTAAGCAATTTTTTATAAAAACTTATTTTATGCAATTAAAGATGAAAATTCAGAATTTGTTATATATATATGTATCATATAATTATAAATGCCTCATAACTCTTCTATGCATAATTCTATTGTTTATATACTATAATCAAAAAAAATTTATTTAATTTTTGGAAAATAACAAAGTATAATAATTTTTTTGTAATATGTGCTTTTTTTTATTGAATGTTCTTGTATATTTGATTCAATTAATATTTTAGATAATGTAAAAATAGAACTACCAATTCAGAACACACTATTCTATTATTTATAAACATATATTCTAATACCTATAAACTAAAAACCTTTATTCATGATCAAAAAACCTAATACTTAAGAACTAATAAACATATATTAATTGTTTATTAATAAACTATGCCTATTCAATAATTACAAAGTTTTTAAAACACAATTGGTATAAGTTTTAACACATCCTCAGTTATCTTTTTTTGATTAGTAAACAATCTAAATGATCATCAGAAGTAGTGTAGATTGTTAATGCTAAAGATTAGATAGATTCATATCATTTTGCCAACAGCTTATTTCATCAACAATTAGTTGCTAACAAGCTTATTTTACTATTGATTAATTTACAGACAAGCTTATTTCACAGTTATTTTACTAGTAGCTCATTTAATCGACAAGTTTTTTTATAAATTACACTAACTTTAATTCAAATTTGACCTTTATGACAAGACCAAAAATAACTTGTGAAATAAACTATCTGTAAAATGAACTTATTTGTAAATAAATCAACAAAAATAAACTTGTTTACAAACTAATTCCTAGCAGAGACATAGGATCTTGCAATTTACAGTGTTTATACCTATAAAATCTATAGGTTATTACTCTTTAAGATTATAGTAAATCACAAAATCTCTATGTTCCTGATTCCTAGTGAAATGAATAGCACCAGATTAGGTAGTTTCAAAGTAATGTAGACGAACCTGAAACATTATATTGCCCATACCTTTTCAACCAATATATGTTCCGATTTAGGAGTTTTCATTATGCATAGCTTAATAAATATATAGTAAGTATATTAATTTCAAAATCTTTTGTTATGCTCTTTAAATATATACTTAATATATATCTGAGCAATTAATTAGAGTAGATTAGATCATGGCACTAGAAATATATAATATAGCATTAGCATTAAAGTACCTGAGAAAATTTTTTTTTTTTTTAAATATTAACAGTGAGGCCATGCCTTTAACTTTATTGAAATTCAATTGAAGTTTTTACAAA